AGATAGAAAGATAGACATATAGCATCTATCTATTCCCTAGATAAATGAGTGAATGAATAAGTGGAATATATCCAATCAAAATTGCCCACAAAATGGTTTTGTGTCTTCTCCACTGAGAATGTTCATCAGTTGAGAGTGGAGATTAATGTGTTCCCAAGAGCAGCAGTTTTTCACTTGACACATGTATTTGAAAAATATGGTCCATATGGCTGTAGAGATAGTTACATGAACCAAGAGGAAAAGTCTATTTATTTACAGTTTGGCCTGATCTTCAGACTTTTATATTTTTCTCATGTTTTCAAACAAATAGAATTTTCTTTTTAAAATTTTATCAATGGACATATCCATGAACCTTTCTTAAAGGGAGTCTGTTTGTCGGTGGCGTTACCTTTTGGCAATTGCAAATGCTGCATGCTGCTTTTTTGTGTTTTCTGCGTGTAGCTAGAGAGATTGCAAGCTGAAAACACCTCGGAGTGGGACAAGAGGGAAATACTTGAAACAGAAAAGCAGGGACTGGAGAGAGAAAATAGAAGGTTGAAGATCCAGGTGAAAGAAATGGAAGAGCTCTTGGATAAGAAAATTAGATTAAGTGCAAACTCTCCAAGTCCTGATTTCAAGACGTCACAAATTGACCTGCAAGAGAAAAACCAGGTATGTGCTCCTTGGAGCAAGTTCTCACTGTCTAATCTCACCCTGATGCCTATGCCGAGTCTGTCTTCACTGGTACACACCTCCACATTTGGCTCTTTCCTTTTGTGCTAGCTAATACCTGATACCCCTTGCTCTTCTGCGCACTAAGATGTAAAATAATGTTGTTCATGCATCTGAAACAAAGTGTGTCAAATGTTAAAATACGACAAATCTTCAGACAGTTTCGAGATTTCCAAAAGGAGGAAGAAAAATGAAGTGAGAAATAGACCTTTCTGGTTTTTTGTTTCTTATTAAAGCTTTGTCTCAGTATTTTCTAAGCTATTGATCTTATTTCCAATAAAGATTTTTTCATTAATTCAAGCAACTATACAATAAGCACTTGCTGGTAGCTATGGTAAGTTCTACATAAACATTTAAATTTAGCTGAAACTCACTGTTTCTGGTTCTTTTTTTGTCAGTTTCAGAACGATTATTTTTGAGCTAATTAAATGCATAATTTTTCAAATAATTTTTCCAGCCTATGGTATAAATCTTAAAACCAGAATAACATTCCTAATTTGAATTTGGGAAATTTAATTTTAGATGTGTTTTATCCCCAAGCCAATAGATATAGTTTGTGCTATAGGCGGACATTTTTTTGATAGTTTACAGATTTTTAAACGTGTTTTTAATGACAGTCTTATAGTTTTAATGTGGGTTTGTGTCAATATGCTGCAAATTTTATTTTCCTTGTTTCTATTTTTCAATTACATATAGCATCTTAATGTACAATTCTATTTCTCACTCAATTCCTGTAACAGTTTTCAAGGGTGAGTTTGATAAGTTCATAGTTCTGAGATATATGAGTCATTCATACTCATATAAGCTCTAAAAGCTACATGGCCAGAAAAATTGAATTCCGTATTGTTTTGTCATTCTTTCATGAATCTAGGGATTTATTGCAAATGCAAGATTAAATTGTATTAGTGTTTCATGACCTAGCAATGCAAATATCTAAAGTTAAATGTTATAGTCCGTGACCATAATTTTCTATTGTACTGATTCATAAACTATCTATAATAATGTATTTGATTCTGACATAAGTACACTGATAAATCTGTAGACATCTTTTTTGTACATCTCTACTCTAAAAAGCACAGAATCATCTCAATTATGGACTGTGGATTGATTACAGAAATACTTTTTATTTGATTTATTTAAACAAGACAAACATTTATTTGTATTATTCTCTGTGTCAGTCACTGTTCTATATGCAGGTAATGAGAATAGTAATTAATGAATCATTATCCCCGCCCAGCGTGGGCTTAGAGTCTATGCAGGGAGTCATACAAATTTTTATAAATATAACACTATAATGACTGCTAAGAATAAAGTGGCAGGGGACATAGATTAAGAAGCAATTGATTATATATTTAATTTTGGCACCTTTCCAGTTGTACCAAACTGTCATAATATAAAGTGTGTCTTTCAGGAAAAATTGAGGCCTATTTGGAGCTGGCATTGTCATAACCTGTCATCAGGGCACACCAATTCCAGACCTGGTCTCTTTGACGACAGTGTAGTTATTTGGGCTAGGACTAAGCAGAACTTGGAAACTGGGAGGATCCTCGAAGGTCTAAGTCAGTGGGTATGCTGATCACTTAGAAGACTGTAGGATTTTTAAAGTATAGATCATTTTGATGGTGGGGGTGGCATTGGTGATTTTTACCCTCTTCATTATAAATTCAGACTATCTGCTGGAACTAAAATAATCACTTATTTTGGAACAGTAGCATGCCAAAATTCTTAGTGTAACAGGAACTTCCCCAGAAGCTCAAAATGTCAAGATTATGATGTCCTCAAATGTCAAATGAATCAGAGCTGTGTACAGAATATGCCAAGGTTCAGGGAATAATGTAGATTTTATCATAACACAAAACCATATTGTAGTTTTAACACTATTTCAATAAGAGTTAATTTATATGTATATAAGTACCATGGATGAATACCATGGCGCTATGTGCGTGTGTGTGTGTGTGTGTATACCATGTATGAGTACTATGTCTACATATGTATAGAAGTTCCATACCTGAGTGAGGCAGTGAAAGAAGGTGCTAGCATGTAAAGGCCACTAGTGCAAACACTGCTTGAATCTTAGTCTCTAAAAGAAATATAAGATCTCTTACTACATGACATTTGCATTTAAATCACATTTACCAAAGGTTTGTGGCAGACATAAAGCTACCTGCTACTCATTAAGAACCCCACATAAATTTTAAAACAATATGTTGGGTTTTAATATTCTAACTGTTCAATAAAATTTTTGTAAGTCCCTATTAATTGAAAAAGGTATGACTTTTTACAGGGCTTTACATTTGATTTTTTTTTTTATTTCAGTGGTATAGGGAATACATTTTTAAAGAAAATGCCTTCCAGTTTTAAATTGCACTATTAATTCATAGAAAAATAATTTTATTTACATGAGTAATCTTATCACATAAATCTCCATTGAGTAGTTGCTTTTATATACTATGTTTAAGGATATGTGTACATCATCCTTTTACAACTTAAAAAATGCGATAATACACTTGAACTTTTAATGGACAGACTGGAAAATTACTACTCTGGTAGTAACTATTTTTAAAGCATAAACCAATGTAGTAGATTTTTCTAGAACAACCATTGCATGAAGATCTTTCGATTTGCTGATGCTCTTGGAAATAGTGGCACTGTTCCATGGTCCCTGGCATCAGCATAATTGACAAAACGACACCAGACAACAGAACTTCGGTGGCAGTATCGAGTGCTCTTCTCAGCATGAAGTCTGCATTGTCAATGATGGCAAAGATGTTTAAGACCTAGATTTGTAAAAACATAAGTAAATCCAAGAGTATGCTTTAAGGAAGAGAAATGCAGCTACATTTGAAAGTCTGATTTCACAGACAATAGTAAATTATGTTAGTGATGTTTGATCATTAGAATGTACATTTCCATCCAACGTTAAAAAAATCCACCTGTCCTTATTGGACTAACTGATATGACAAAGTTTTTTTAAAAAACATCTTCAATACACTCAGAAAATGTGAATTCAATAATTTGAACTATTTGTCAGAAGTTTTTCTTAGTTTTCTTTCACAAGATCAAGGTAGCTAAAACATTTAAGTATATTAAAAATTATAGTGGCATCAAAAGTGGGGTGTGCATGTCACACTGTGTTCAAAAAGCTCTTTTTGAATCTCTATGTTTATAATATATATTAGTACAATAGCATATCTATAGAACATAAATAAGTTAACATATATAAAGGGTGAAAGTTGGTAAGCTCATAACTTTATAGGAACATAAAAAGAACATGTATCAACTATTTTATTTATCCCATTAGTTAATGAGGAAACCAGTAAGTTACTACAGCCAGTTCAAAGGAGAATCTAAGTGTCATACAACTAGGCACCCAATAATGCCGAAATGAGTGTGCTTAATGGATGCAAGAGTGGCTCTTCCATCGTGGGTGGGGAAATAAATTGCACTGTCACAAAATAACGTTGTCCTACACGTTTATGGACAAGAATCAGTTGCATGGCCATGGATCATCTATAAATTACAGGGTTTTGTGTAAAATATCTTAATGATATCAACGTTGCAGGACATTATAGAATCAGAAAACCTTACCCGAGGAATGTGTTAGACACAACCTCCAGGAATCTTTGTTGATCATTGCAAAGACTTTCGCAATTTTCTCTGGCAATATAAGTTACTTGATGTGCGTGTGTAATAAGTCTATATATGAGTACATCAACAAACACATGGGGAGTGTTATTCTAGACTAGGGATGAACAAACTTTTTTTGTAAAGATCAAGATGGTAAATGTGTTAAACTATTTAAGTAAGCCACATAAGTCTCTGTGGCATATCCTTTTGGAAAATTATAAGCCTTCGAAACCATAGAGAATATTTCATGGGAGGCACACAAACAGGTCTAGAGCCAGATTTGGTTCATAGGTCATGGCTTGTGGCCTCCTGCTATAGCCCAGGGGCCTCTGGCTTACAGAAGGGGCCAAGAAGGCAAATGTGACAGAGTTAGGTTCAGGGTGAAAAAACAAAACAGTACCTCTCCCTAGCTGGAGAGCAGTGCTTTCCTGGGAGGCATTCATATTCAAAGCACTAGAAATATTGTTCTGGCCACACAAAACCCTCTGGGGTAGATTTTCCACTTGGGTTAGTAACCTGGTCTACACAGTCTACATTGAGCCATGGCAATCATTTTAGAACTGTCAGCCAAGGATCTCTGCCTCTATTTCTCAGCAAGATTTCAATTATTATACTGGTGTCTCTTACTTGTCCTAGTTCCCTTCGTGGAACCAATTTTGTCTTACTGATTTCAGGAAATGCATTGCCACCTCCTGTGCATATAGCAGGTGTACAACAAAGACTTGCTGAATGAAAATAAGTTGATGAACCATGACACATACATTTTTAACATGAAATATATAGATGCTTATGCTATATTTCTGCTGAGTATTTCAGCATAGTTTGAGAACATAACTGGTAAGTCTTCAGAATGTAGCTGATCAGAAGACATTTCTCCAAATGACTTATTTGTAATTTGGAAAAAAAATCTGAACATTTCCCAATATTGCTATTCAAAAACTAGAGAAATTATGGTTTGAAAATACAGACAGTTAAGAAATTAGCATTAGAAATTTTTTTGGAAGCCAACCTGCTAGTCACTGAGTTTAACTGATATTAATATTTATGCTTAGCTTTAATGGAGACACATACATATTAAAATCACAATTTAAAAGCTATTAAATAAAAACAGAAATGACATTAAAAGTATGAATTTATAGAAATTAAAAACAAACATTCTGGTGTTATGTGATAGTCCTATTTAGAAATTATGTATTATGTCATCATCTATTTAGAAAAACAAAAAAAAAAACCTTTAGATTTTATTAAAGTTAAAAAATTGTATATGATGCTACCATGGTATGTATCTAAGGATAAGTTTCTAAAACTAGCCA